CTTTAGAGATCTATCTAAACCCATAGGAGTGGTAAGTTCTATTAAATGATTAAGAATTTATGTATTTGAATCTAAAATCATTTCTGAACCAGATAAACCCCAAAAATGAAGCCGAGGTACGCTCGAAATATGATTCATTTGAAGATCCCTCTGGTGGCATACCTAAATTTCACTATGGCACTCACTATTCCAATTCAGCTGGTGTTTTGCATTATTTGTTGAGAGTTGAACCATTTACCTCGTTACACATTGAACTGCAGAGCGGACGCTTTGATGTAGCTGATCGTCAATTTCATTCTATACCACAAACATGGAAACTTTTAATGGACAATCCAAATGATGTTAAAGAGTTGATTCCGGAATTTTTCTATTTTCCTGAATTTTTAAAGAATATGAACAAGTGGGTTGTGGCTTTTCTGGAATTATATTATTTATAGTTATAATCTCGAATTACTTCTGTAGATTTGATTTGGTCATTTGCAAATAACAAAGGAAAAAGTCGATGATGTTATAACTGCCACCTTGGGCGACCACACCTGAAGAATTTATAGCCATACACCGCAGAGCCTTGGAATCGGATATTTAGTCAAAATTTACATAATTGGATTGATTTGATATTTGGGTAAGTGCAAATAGATGATAGATAGATAGATAGATAGATAGATAGATAGATAGATAGATAGATAGATAGATCGATAGATAGACAGATAGATAGCTGATCGATAGATAGATAGATAGATCGATAGATAATAGATAGATAGATAGCTGATCGATAGATCGATCCTAGATCGATAGACTCGCTATCTCGCTCGCTCTAGATCTGATCGCTCGCTCGCTGCTCGCTCTCGCTCTCTCGCTCGCTCGCTCGCTCTCGCTCGCTCGCTCGCTCGCTCGCTCGCTTGCTCTCGCTCGCTCGCTCCTCGCTCGCTCGCTCGCTCGCTCGCTCGCTCGCTCGCTCGCTCGCTCGCTCGCTCGCTCTCTCGCTTGCTCGCTCGCTCGCTCGCTAGCTCGCTGCTCGCTAGCTCGCTCGCTCGCTGCTGGCTCGTCGCTCGCTCGCTCGCTGCTCGCTCGCTCGCCGCTCGCTCGCTCCTCGCTCGCTCGCTCGCTCGCTCGCTCGCTCGCTCGCTCGTCTGGCCTCGCTCGCTCGCTCGCTCGCTCGCTCGCTCGCGCTGCTCGCTCGCTCGCTCGCTCGCTCGCTCGCTCGCTCGCTCGCTCGCTCGCTCGCTCGCTCGCTCGCTCGCTCGCTCGCCGCTCGCTCTCTCGCTCGCTTGCTCGCTCGCTCGCTCGCTCGCTCGCTCTCGCTCGCTCGCTCGATCGCTCGCTCGCTCGCTCGCTCGCTCGCTCGCTCGCTCGCTCGCTCGCTCGCTCGCTCGCTCCCGCTCGCTCGCTCGCTCGCTCGCTCCGCTCGCTCGCTCGCTCGCTCGCTCTCTCGCTAGCTCGCTCGCTCGCTCGCTCGCTCGCTCGCTCGCTCGCTCGCTCGCTCGCTCGCTCGCTCGCTCGCTCGCTCGCTCGCTCGCTCGCTCGCTCGCTCGCTCGCTCGCTCGCTCGCTCGCTCGCTCGCTCGCTCTCGCGCTCGCTCGCTCGCTCGTCGCTCGCTCGCTCGCTCGCTCGCTCGCTCGCTCGCTCGCTCGCTCGCTCGCTCGCTCGCTGCTCGCTCGCTCGCTCGCTCGCCTCGCTCGCTCGCTCGCTCGCTCGCTCGCTCGCTCTCTCGCTCGCTCGCTCGCTCGCTCGCTCGCTCGCTCTCTCGCTCGCTCGCTCGCTCGCTCGCTCGCTCGCTCGCTCGCCTCGCTCGCTCGCTCGCTCGCTCGCTCGCTCGCTCGCTCGCTCGCTCGCTCGCTCTCTCGCTCGCTCGCTCGCTCGCTCGCTCGCTCGCTCGCTCGCTCGCTCGCTCTCTCGCTCGCTCGCTCGCTCGCTCGCCTCGCTCTCGCTCGCTCGCTCGCTCGCTCGCTCGCTCGCTCGCTCGCTCGCTCGCTCGCTCGCTCGCTCGCTCGCTCGCTCGCTCGCTGCTCGCTCGCTCGCTCGCTCGCTCGCTCGCTCGCTCGCTCGCTCGCTCGCTCGCTCGCTCGCTCGCTCGCTCGCTCGCTCGCTCGCTCGCTCGCTCGCTCGCTCGCTCTCGCTCGCTCGCTCGCTCGCTCGCTCCTCGCTCGCTCGCTGCTCGCTCGCTCGCTCGCTCGCTCGCTCGCTCGCTCGCTCGCTCGCTCGCTCGCTCGCTCGCTCGCTCGCTCGCTCGCTCGCTCGCTCGCTCGCTCGCTCGCTCGCTCGCTCGCTCGCTCGCTCTCGCGCTCGCTCGCTCGCTCGCTCGCTCGCTCGCTCGCTCGCTCGCTCGCTCGCTCTCTCGCTCTCTCGCTCGCTCGCTCGCTCGCTCGCTCGCTCGCTCGCTCGCTCGCTCGCTCGCTCGTCCTCGCTCGCTCGCTCGCTCGCTCGCTCGCTCGCTCGCTCGCTCGCTCGCTCGCTCGCTCGCTCGCTCGCTCGCTCGCTCGCTCGCTCGCTCGCTCGCTCGCTCGCTCGCTCGCTCGCTCGCTCTCTCGCTCTCCTCGCTCGCTCGCTCGCTCTCGCTCGCTCGCTCGCTCGCTCGCTCGCTGCTCGCTCGCTCGCTCGCTCGCTCGCTCGCTCGCTCGCTCGCTCGCTCGCTCGCTCGCTCGCTCGCTCGCTCGCTCGCTCGCTCGCTCGCTCGCTCGCTCGCTCGCTCGCTCGCTCGCTCGCTCGCTCGCTCGCTCGCTCGCTCGCTCGCTCGCTCGCTCGGTCCGTCGGTCGTCTCTCTCCCTGTTTCCCTCGCTTTGCCCTTGCCTTCCCCCCTTCTTCCCTCTTTTCCTCTCGCTCCCCCCCCCCGGCCCCCCTGCCGAAGCCTTAAATGTTTTCTACTATTGTTCTTACGAGGGAGCTGTTGATTTGGATAATCACCAATCCTGTGGAAAGAGAAGCTTGAAGGTAGTTTTTCTTAAACCAAAATAAAAACAAATATATTCTTCTTTTCGCTACCACCAACAGGCATGATTAACAATTTCGGTCAAGTTCCTTCACAATTAATGCGTGAACCACATCCGCGTCGTTTAACTCAGGAAGAAACAACACTAAAACTTTTGAGAGCCGAATTAAAGCGACCCGATTTGACACAATTTCTTGATAAGGTTGTACAATATTATTGTGAAATATCGACACCAAAAGATCCTATCGTCTATTTGAGTCCACCAAGATCACCACCGCGTTCTTTTCTACAACTAAGTCCTGATATGCTGGTAAGCATATCAAAATCTTGTATTTTGGGTTGTAATTCTTGGATGTCATATGATAAGGATAGAGGTTTTTTGCTGGAAATCGATGCCACTACTACGAATTTGAAGTAAGTTCCAAAACTAGAATAAATGTAGTGATAATATGTTAAATTTTATATCTTTTAGAAATCGTAAACGTATATTTGGCCCTTTGCATCCTTCACAAATGCCTCATTCTCAAATGTTTGCTATTAGCACGGATGGCAAACTTTTGTATGCCGGTGGTATATGGGATAATTCTTTAAGGGTTTATAGTTTGCACAAAGGCAAAACTTTGGCCTCGGTAACCAGACATTTAGGTAAGTTGTAAAAAAAAATAATTAAAAACAAAGAGATTTAATTAATAATACTTTACTTTACCTTTTTTCAGACATTATCACCTGTCTGGCTTTGGACAACTGTGGCTCTTATTTGGTAACGGGTTCTCGTGACTGCACCTGCATAATCTGGAGTATTCAGGGTTTACATTCTGGTGCTAATAACAACTCCTCCAATATACCAGTTCACGCTTTAACCAGTCAAACTAATTTACAGTCGATAATGCAGTTAAATACACAAAATAGTTTTTCACCCAAACCCTTGACAACATTATATGGTCACGATGATTCTATATCAAGTGTAGCCATTTATACAGAACTGGATATGGTGGTATCGGGTTCATTGGTAAGTTTAAAACAAAAACAATTTTGCAATTTAATTAATTAAAATTCATTTAATGTTAATTTGTTTGTATTTTCAGGACGGCACTGTTAATGTTTATACCATACAAGATGGTCAATTTGTTCGGACTTTAAAACCGATTGGTTGTACAGAGTTTTGTGTACAGATATCGTATGTAACAGTTTCATATCATG